AGATCGAGCGACCTTTGGCCGGAATGACCTAAATGAGAATCGAAGGTCTCGACAATGGTATTTTAGCGGTAAAGAAGTTATGAATTTCTAAAGAAATTTTCTTACCGCGACCTTTTAAAAATAAATAATATAAATAATTTCAAAATTCGCCGACGGGATCTAAACGAAAGTTGTAGAGTATGGTCTCACGTTCGCGTGGATACAAAGAACATCGAAAACGGAATTCGTATGAAGGAGATATGAATTTTTGAAGTTTATTAAATAATTAAAATATAAATTTTAATTAAAAACCCTTGGTATTATTTGAAGGGGAGTCATCCGATAGGGCCGAGTTACGCCTAGCGTACGAGGTCGGTTCTCAACCCCTATAAAAGGGATGCGAGGGTTCCGAAGAAAATGCACCATTTCTCTCATTTCTCTTACTTTCTTGCCTCGTTTTCCGTGCCCATGCTACCCCGAAGCCCCAATCACTTTGCTCAAGTCTCGAAGGTCATTTGTGCTCCCGAGATTCCCGAGAATCCCGAGGAAATCCACTTTCTCGAGCCGAAATTCTGTCTGGTTTTCATCCCGCAACCTCCGATCTTTCAAGTGAGTTCATACCCCTATAATTCACACTTTTAAATGTTTTATGAGTACTTTTACATGCTTTTAAGGGGGGAATACAAGTAAAACACTCGATTATTATTGTGTGTTATATAAACATTCACTATACGCGTTTTATCAAAGGAATCATTTGTGATTTATAACTATTATATGGAAACCTTCATATGAAAATTATACCACGACAACATTTTATCTTTTGAAATGAGAAATGATTTATGTATTTTAATAAATCAGACACTTTTCTTATACTATGTTTATGGGTGTCGGTTTTCACACTACAAAAACTATACTTTTCATAATAAGTGAGCATTTTCACTAAGGGTTTATTATACAAACGAAACACACTTTTAGGAAACTATAATAGGTATAGTTTTACAAAAATTCTACGAACTTTTACATACATGGAAATACTACTTCAAGAAGCTACTTTCATATACAATAACAAACGAACATTTTCACACGTAAATCTGTTTTATACTAAGTTTTGTGAGACATTAACTTCACATACGTTCGATTACACATTTCAAGTCCTATATTATATACCAGAATCCCTTGGAGGGGGAGCATGGTGTTTGTGTATAGATCTATACGCACTACTAGAAAAACAGCCTTTTACGACGCGCAATCAATGACACGTGCTGATAGAGGACACTCATTTGTGCGTACCCTAAAAGTTGATGTCAGTTTTCCAAAATATGAAGCATGGTGGACACGCATGTTTGCGTGCCCTAGAATTAGTGTCTAAAAAAAACACGGAGGGCACCTTAAATAAAATGTGTGTCGTCTAACCATGTCACTTTATAAATTTTAATGAAACACACGTTTCATCCAAGGGGGAAATGAAATCCAAAAATTAAAAAGCCCGCTTTGTTTCCACCGACTAAAAACCCTAGCTCATCCCCGCCAAAAAACCCTTTCCTTCTTTCGTCTCTCTCGATTCTCAAACCTCCACCGCTTCACTTCTCTACATCTGGTCTCCAACTTTGCATCTCCAGCATGATCCTCCCACAAGTTCGCATCTTCATCGCTTGTTCATAAAGATTTCAAGAATTTCTAGGGTTTCGATTATTTAGTGAGGTATAGGGAGGTGTAATCGTTTTGGACTCTTTACTATTGACTTGAAATTGAACCCTAAAAAATCAATCCACACTTCGAACTTCTCTGATTCTCTCTTCTTCCACTCTCCAATCTCGGATTCCACTCCAATCGAGCTCTAATGAAGCAACCAACTCTCTAATTTCAGTCTATTCTACCCTCTAGTGATCTAGTATCCAACCTCCACTACTGTACGGTCTATATAATGTTAAGAACATTGAAGGAGGCAACCTTCGCCAGCCAGCCCTTAGGTCTCAACAAGTTCCAAGGTTTGGTTTAGCTATCTTTCTGATCCCACTTCCCATGCAGGTAATTTCAGTTTGTCACCTTATTTCTTCTCTTTTAGGCAGTCACTTTCTTTCTTCTCTTGTGGCGTGATGTTCTTCACGGACGATTACGAAGGCTTTAATTGGTGGTCATCGATTTACACCATCACCTCCTTGTTCATTCCTAAAATAAAGACCTTAGAACAATATCCGATGTTGAAGACTGCTGGCTTGTCTCTTCAAAATCAAATCGTTCATTAAGGTGTACTTGGCCTTGCTATAGATATCCTTTTTTTTGAAGAGAATGGATCGGTTGTGCTTCAGCAAGGAGTAGGTCGCCTCATAAATTCAATAGCTGCTGTTCTTGGTCCTGTATGTGTTGAATTCTCGATTGCTTGTTTAATCAGGTTTCCTATCACATGAAACTTCCAATTTGCCTCTATAATCAAATAAAGCTTCAATTACAAATATTATTTGCTAATTACTAATCAGATGCATATAAAAAGAGCTGTTATAATATGCATCTCTCACCTTCTTAAAGCATTCTAAGAAAAAAATGAACTTATATAATGACTATTTGTCAACATGGAATGTCTAGGGCTTCAAATTACTTCTTAAGCAATTCATAAAGCTCCTGCCATTTTTTTTAACAGCTTCTCTAACACTCTTGGGCGAAAAGACTACCCTTCTGTCACCTGAACCTGTTGTTGCATCTGGCGTTATTTATTTGTTCAAAATTGAATTTCACATTCTCAACTTCCTTTAGAAAATCTCAAAGTAATTGTGTAAAACATATGGTGGTAAATTGTTGAGATTTGGGACATTCTAGTGAAAATTTCTTCTGTTTCACGCTTTACCTGCTTACCATGTCATTTATTCCAAGGTCAGCTAGAAATCTTTACAAGTCTTTTGACATATGAAGCTAGAAAGAGTTATTCCAAATATATCAGGAAGGGTAAATTGGTAATATTCTTTAAATGTATTTCAATGGCAGGGTGCCTAAGTCCTTGTTACCAGGGATACGAAGCTCTCATTTAAAAGATCATCAGAAAGAAGAACGTGAGTTGTTGGTGATGTAAATATGATAACATCTGATGAGTGAATCAATCAAGTTAAACTATGTCCTTTTTTGTAATTTTACCTATAATTAACATCATATTGATAATAATGAGAAATATATATATATATTTTTGAATTACAGATATTTTACAATCTTGTGATGAATTCAAGAATGATGTTGCATTGCCAAATTCAGAATTTAATTCTCCACTTCAAGTAACTCCATTGTTTAGATCAATGGTTGCAGGGATTCCAAGCCCACAATTTTCAGAAAGTGTAAGTCCATTAACCATTTTATGTTTTTTCCCTTGTCATACGTTAATCTTCCACTTAAATTACTTCCTGTCACATCAATAAAAGGGTAAGTTATATTAAAAAAAACATTATATTTTTAGCAGTTTTAAATTTTAACCAACTAATACTTTATTTTTTGAATCAAACGATAAAAGTTGAAAGACATTTTGATTTATTATATAAGGTTAAAGTGGTTAATTTAAAAAAAAAATGTGTGGAACTTTTATGGTTTGATTGGAAAAAACATAGCATAAGTGATTAAACTACAAAATTGCCAAAAAAAGAATAGTTTTTCTTTACTTTTCCTGTAATTAAACAAGCTAAAAACCAAAAAGATTAAAGAAAGTTTATTTATTTATTTATTTTATTTTTTGGGTTTTTCAGGAAAGACATTTTCTACTAAAAACACTTGGAATGGAATTGACACCTCCGAATTCAAGCATTAGAACTTCACAACATCCAACCTGCAAATGGGCCCTTCTTCATTGTCTTTAAATTTTAAAAAAGAAAAAAAAATCAGGAAAAAGATTTGACCAAGATTTGGTTTATGCCTTGAAAGCAAGAATGTTGGGGTACATTCTTGAGTAGAGGGGTAAAAGTGTCTATTTTTTGTGCGTGTGATAATGATTTTGGAGGGTATCGAGTTTTAGGTGTTCGATATTGACTTCATAACTATTTGGCCTCAAAACATGCCAAATTATGTACAGAAGATAATTTTACTTAGTCTTGGAGAGTGTAATTACACATATACCCCCCATTTATACCGTTAAAATAGGGGGAAGGTAGTAAAAGCATAAAAGATAGTGAAGGAGGATCAACCACCGAATTGGCCCTGTCAGAAAGAAAACAAACTGTTAACCTGTATTCTTAATAGATATTCCTCTTATTATGCAGTCGTATGGAACATGAGTAATGGGTATTTAAGACCTAGAATATTCTGTTTAGAGCATGCAAGCAAAGTTGAAGAGCTGTTGGACTTCATAGGTGGAGCATCTACCAAAAGTATCTTGTTGATATTGTTGTTTGGTCATATTGTTGTTACAGGATATGAGCCTCCAAACACATGCATAGTTCTTGAAAAAGATGAGCCTTTTAAAGCTCCTGTTCGTTTTCAACTTGTCGGGAAAATAAAGAAACATAAAGGAGCTGAAAGTATATCTTTGTGGCTGCCTCAGGCTCCCCCTGGATATTTATAAATGGTTTAGTGTTATCCTCCACATTGATAACTAGGATCTGAATTATTTTATATGTTTGGAATTGCAGATGAAACCATTATCTAATATATCATTGAGCAATATTGGATTTAGTCTCCATAGCAGGCCTGATTAACTCAATGCCACTGTTTGCTTCTCATTGGCTGCCATATCATATAATGATAAACTTGAAGCTTGGGAGCCTCTTGTTGAACCTGTTGATGGTGTCTTAAGGTAGGTTATCTCTTTCTCTAGAATTTTTCAAATATGTTTTAGTGATAAATTTCTGAAGGGGTCTCTTTTCTCTTTCTTTCTACTTGTTTAATGTCTTCTTGTTTGGTTTCAATGTACATGTACTAAAATGATGTCAATGCTCCAAGTGTTGCATCTCAATTACGGCTGACCATTACAACGGATATCAACATAAATATAATAGTGTCTAATGCTAATATGCATATTCAAGCTTATGAGAGAATATATCCCTGAAATTATGCCAAGAATTGTTGAAGCTTTGTTGGATGGAGCCGCTGCTACTAAACGTGAGGTTGCTGTTCCAACTCTTGGTCAGGTTGTACAGAGCACATGGTATGTATTCATCTTTAACAATATTACAAGTGACACTGCAATGTAGTTTACCCTTTTTACAAAAATTGATTGGTTTTTTTTTGTAGTTATGTGATAGCTCCATATAATGAGTACCCACAGTTGGGCTTACTTTTAAAATTGTTAAATAGTGAGCTGGCATGGTCTACAAGGAGTGAAGTTCTTATGGTATGTTTTTTACCCTTTTCTGGTTTCTATGATGCTATGTACATAGATTCATGCTGGAAAAAATCTATGTTAACAATGAGTGATCAGGTTCTTGGAATAATGGGTGCTCTGGATCCTCATGTTCATAAGCGTAATCAACAAAGCTTGCAAGGGCCTCTGGGTGATGGGACCTGTGCAACCAATGATACGGGCCCACATATCCAGTCTAGTGATGAATTGCCAATGGATTTTTGGACATCATTTGCAACATCAGAAGATTATTTCTCCACTGTAAAGTTTTTTTTATCAAAAAGTAAAAATAAAAAAGAAGTCGTACCTTTACTCCTTTAGTCTAATTTTCATTTATTATATTTGCAGGTTGCTATCAGTTCTTTAATTCGGATACTTAGAGACCCTTATCTTTCTAGTTATCATCAAAAATTCGTTGGCTCTCTCATGTTTATTTTCAAGGTTCGTTGACTTAAAGAACACATAATATACATATTTATTATATAATTGCATATTGTAGATTCTTTTTTCCTCTTCTTTGATTTTTCTAATATCGTTTTTTAGTCAATGGGTCTTGGTTGTGTGCCTTACTTGCCAAAGGTTTTACCAGACTTCTTTCACACTATCTGTACGTGTGAAGATACTCTCAAGGAGTTCATAACTTGGAAGCTTGGAACTCTTGTTTCAATTGTGCGCCAGGTAGGATTGTATTTGACTTTGTACAATTACAAAAACTAACTACTTAAACGCCACATCATCATTAACCATTCTTGGTTGCTATTTCCGCACATTCGCAAGTATCTACCCGAGCTGCTTTCTTTAATATCAGAATTATGGTCATCATTCAGTCTCGCAATAGCCAATCGTCATATTCATGGACCCCTGTAAAGTGTGCTTTTACTATCTGTCTTTGTACTATGCACATGTGTTAAAGGGAAATAATGTAATTTGACTTTCTGATCAGATCCTGTACCTAGTTGAACAAATTTGTATGGCCCTGAAAGATGAATTCAGGAGATATGTTCCTATAATTCTTCCATGTTGTATTCAAGTTCTGAGGGATGCTGAAAGGTGTAATGATTACACTTATGTCGGTGATCTTCTTTGCACTTTGGAAGTTTTTGGTGGTGAGTGTGATTGTGATTGTGGAAATTATAATAATTAGTCTCCTAAGTCCTAACATAAATTATTATATAATTTTGTTCTACAGGAACATTGGATGAACATATGCATCTACTTCTTCCTGCCCTCATACGTTTATTTAAAGTGGATGCTTCTGTTGACATAAGGCGAGCTGCTATAAAAACCTTGATACGATTAATCCCTCGTGTTCAGGTTAATGAATTATTATTATTATTTTTTTTTTGGGTTTGTAATAAATATATTTATCATAAATTATTTGACAAAATGCCATTAATTTCTTTTCATTAGGTTACAGGACACATTTCAACACTCGTGCATCACCTGAAGCTTGTATTGGATGGGTGTGTTAACAATGTTATTGTTAGTTTGTTACTCTCCCAACATGAATTCCTTTTCACTTTTAATTTTATTTTCTTTTAAAACATTTTTCATGCATGTAGAAAAAACAATGAGCTAAGAAAAGATGTTGTTGATGCACTCTGTTGTTTGGCACATGCACTTGGGGAGGACTTTACCATTTTCATCCCATCAATTCACAAACTTCTTATAAAGCATCGCTTGCGGGTTTATATTTTGTAACCATTACTTAATTTCTTACAAAAAATCACGTGTTGCATTCTAGAAATATATACATGTTTTACATTAATTTCACTTTCAGCACAAGGAATTTGATCATGAGATTGAGGGGCGATTACAAAGGCGTAGACCTTTAATTGTTGCAAGTGTAGCAGCACCAAAGTCAATCTGACAGCCTCCTGTGGAGGTTATCAGTGATCCTTTGAGTGATATGGAGAATGATCCTTATGAAGATGTTCACAAACAACCCAAAGTTCATCAGGTATTAAAAAATATATATTATTTAAACACGAAATTATATAATTTAATCATGGTTTTACTTTTTCCAACAGGTTAATGATGCTAAATGGGTTTTTGTTTAGTTATTTCCAACAAAAATGTTTCCATGATGAATCTTTTGGTAGAGACAATGTATAAGAATTACTTCATTGAGCTAATTATGATGTGATCCTTTGTTTATTTGTTTTCAGAGGTCAAGTATTGCTATCAACCAATTAAAATTTCGTTTACCAATGGCGTAGTTAAGGTATCAATATCATCACTCTTATTTGTCTATATCATTTTCATGAAAATGTTTATGTTGCAAGAAACACTCATATATAGCTTATTGGATTAAGGGCTTGTTTCTTTCTACTTAGTATTTCTTAGTGGTTGTGAACAAGCCTCTCAACTCACATTTGAGTTTATAGGAATCAACAATCATTGTGAAACTTCTAGTGTTTAGATTTCTTACTAGTTGTGAACATTTGTTTCTTCCCTTTCTACCCTTCACTTGTAGGTTGATGATTTGTCAAGAATGTTCAGACTATTTTCCAAAAATACCCCATGGATTGGATCCTGTCTCTAGTATGTTTAAACAGGTTTGTGATTTAGGAGTTGGATTCTATACTATTTTTTAAAGTAGAATGCAATTATTTGTATTTGTTGTCATCCGTTTTTATCTTTTTGACGCAATGCAGCATGTTGCTGCTGAAGGCACAATCTTGGTCAAACAGGCAGAAGATGCTTGCAAGTAATAAGAAGGTAGAAAAGAGATTGCAGGCTGATCCTGCTACATGGCCAATAATGATCTTTAGGGTCTGCTAGAAGGATTGGAGATTGCAGTTAAGCTTCTATCTAAGACTTCACGCCAAGGACTTGATGAATTTAAGATATCATATTTTGGCATGGCTAGAAGTTTTGGAGGAAATGAGACTCAAGCAAAAGTAAACACACAGAGAGTTGTTGGCACATAGTAAGCTAGATAATGCAATTGTATATAAATGAGTTCATTTTTTTTATAACATTTACTCACTATTGGAATAATTATTTGTATTTGACATATTAGTGAAATGAATTATCTTTTTTATTTATGGTATTTTATTTTGTCTTATGAGATTTTTAATGTATTATTTAATTTGAAAATTAGTAAATCTATAAATAGTATATTTTTTTAAACATTTAAAATTATGATACGCAAAAATTTGTGTCATCTTCATTTATGACATGGCCTTTCTTGACAGGGGCTTTCTTGATACGCATTGCGTGTCATTAACATGCGCGTCGTAAGGTTACGACATGTGAATGCATGTCATCTTCCTTTATGACAGGTCCTTCCTTGACACGCATTGCGTGTCGTAAATGCGCGTCGTAATTGTGCGTCGTAAATGAGCGTCGTAAATGCGCGTCGTCTCTCTTTATGACAAGGCCTTCCTTGACGCGCATTTGCGCGTCATCTGAGCCTTTTACGATGCGCAATGAGCGTCGTAAAAGGCTGTTTTTCTAGTAGTGACGGGCTTCACAACCCACGCCCTGACTCAGGCTGACTGTTAGCTACAGTCCACCATTTGGGGTGACGAATGTCAGAACATTCCAACGCCTGAAGAACATTGTGTATAGGCATTCCTTGTCAATAGCATGGTTATAAAACTCGCATAGAGTATTAAAAACACAATGATTTACGGGGTTTTTCAGACATATTGGAAATTTTATACGTACATACATGTTCTAGAAACAAACATTGGTCTTGAAAGAAGGCTACATTTATGCTAGTAGAAAATATAGGATTTTCTAGGAACAAACAAACAACAACAAAACATTTCATTTCATACAAACATTGTCATTTAATACTTATGAAACTCACCAGCTTAAATGCTGATCTACTCTTTCAAAACTACTTGTATGTCCCAGGGATTCAGTAATTACAGGTAACAAATAGGTTTTGAAGAATGGACGCTGCGGTGCCAGTTTAAAATCATATTTTGACATCATATTGTAATTGGTTTTGAACATGTACTCTTTTAAACAATGTAAACTTTCAATTATATATATGATGGTTGTATTGCTTTCTTTACTATGTATTCATTTGTTACGTTACCACATGAAGTCATCCGCCCCCGAATGTTTCCGGCATTCCGGTTTGGGGGTATGACAGATTGGTATCAGAGCAATGTTTATAGTGAACTAAGTATATCGAACCTCATAAGATATACAAACTATAAATGCTTAGGGACTCAAAGTCTCTGAAAAAAGTTTTCGTACCTAAAATCCATATTTCATGTAAATAGATTATTTTAGGGCATGAAAATCCAAAATACATGTATACAACGACATATTTTCATGATGAGAACTATACAAAAGTATTAAGACAAGTTGGTCACTACGATTCGTTCTCGAGATATGTAATCAAATTTGGGACGAATATAGCTTGATCAACTATGTTTATCCGAAATTAGACTAACGTATATCGATGAATGATCGTAGTGAGCAACAAGTCAAAACTTACCAAAAATAGACACTAGTATCAAACGTACAATTTAAATGCTATAGGAGTATTTGGTGCATATAATAGATTAATTAGTATTACATGTCTCAAGTTTTGTTCAAATCTTATAACCCTATTCTCGTATAGTCAAATGGCTGGATTTCACCCGCATGGGGACCCCTACTACCCGAACCAAGGCAACGGAGGATGGGTAGAGGAGGATCCGGAAGAGGATGAAGAGCCTATCGAGTTGGATGGAGGGGATGACTTTGGTACAGAATCGGAACCAGAAGTAGTCAACCTTCCACCCATTAGGAGGAACTTCCAAGGACCGAATCCCGTTTGGGGAAGTCACCTCATCCACTGGAGCCAACAACAAGGGATACGCTCTCCCTACAGTATGTGTTGAGACTTCTACGACATCAGGGATGGAGGTTCGGCCGACCGAGCACTTCCGGTCATGGTAGGTAAACTGGCCAACCAGTCCTACCAATCGGGGGTCCAAGCAAATCGAATCCGCGAAGTCAACGTGGAAGTACAAGTCCACGCGGCTGATATCCGTCGTCTGGATATGTTGCAGAATGACACCCACCTCCGCGCCGAAGCATTCCAAGCACAAATGAATGCAGCCCTTGCAGAGTTGAGGGAACAACAAGCCGCCTTCGATAGGTGTCTTATGGAGTCAAAGCAATCGGATGCGGAGTCGAGCTCCAAGCGCAACACACGTCGCAAGTAGTACTTGCGAAAACCTCAAATTTTGTTATAAGATAGGACTTCGGCTAAAAGTTTTTACTTCCTTTAAATTCTTGTAATCGGAGACCCTTTTAAGGGTCAAATTTTCGTGATCCTTGTATCATCTATTATATTAATATAATTTGCACGCTATTACTACTATGTTGAGTATCGCATTCAATCTTTAAAATATTATGGAAAAACCATACGCTTGTTTATATATTCGGATTTACGAATAACCTTCGCTCTTCTATCTTTGAGACTCATACTATCATCTGTTGTTGAACTATAGCAATTTAGTTCATGAGACACATACATTTTCTATACTATGGACTTCTTACCCTTGTCTTTTCAATCTTTAGTTGAAGGATGCCTCCGCGTAGAAATCCGAGACGAAACAACGGTAGGGAAGCACCGATACCACCACCACCTCCACCTCCCCAATTGGATGTTGTCATGTTCCAGGCAGCAGTCACCGCAACTGTAGCAGCTGCCATGTCACAGATCAATACCCCTGTTACTACTGGTTCAGGAATTGGCATACATCCTTCCAACCGTGGCGACAGTCATGGGCAACCCCGGGAGTGCACCTATAAAGACTTTACGAATGCTAAGCCCCGGATGTTCAATGGAACGAGTGGTGTGATGATTTTAAGGCAGTGGATTGAAAGAACGGAATCAGTATTTGAAATCTGCTCCTACCCAGAGCACAGCAAGGTCAAGTTTGCAACTTACACATTTACTGATTGGGCTTTAACTTGGTGGAATGGCCATGTTAAGGTACTTACCCTGATAGTGGCAAACTCAATAAGCTGGGAGAGCTTGAAAATCATGTTGATGAGGAAGTACTATCCACGAGGAGAGATTCACAAACTCGAGCACAAACTTTGGACTCTGGAAATGATTGGTACCGACATAGCAACTTATACCAACAGATTCTGCGAGCTGGCAATCCGTTGCCCATATATGGTTGCTCCCGAGAGCAAGAAAATAGAGCGATACATTTGGGACTGTCGCCCCAAATTCATTCAAGCGTGTTAGCTTCAAAACTTGACACTTTTGAAAGTGCCAAGGAGCTGGCACAATCGCTTATTGATCACGGAAATCATCAAAACTCAACAACTTCTGCACCAGAACCACAAAAGGGAAACGACAATAACAACAACAACAAGAGAGGGTGGAATAAGGGGAAGGGTGGATCTTCCCAAGAATCCTAGAAGAAACAACAACTGGTTGTCGTAAACGCTGCGACGGTACCTACTACTGTTCCTACAAATCTCTACCCAAAAAAGCCTTATGTGGGCAACCTCCCAAAGTGCACCAAGTATAATTACCACCACCACGGACCTTGTCGGGAAATGCAGTGATCCAACTGCAACAGAAAGGGACACACTGTCTGTTTCTGCAAGGCCCCCGTAAAGCCGATCACTCAAGTTCCCGGTGCTGGTGTAGGCCAAGCATGCTACGGTTGTGGCGAGGTGGGCCACTACAAAAGAAACTGCACAAAGGCAGCAAATACCGGCGGAGTGGGACGAGTATAAGCTATTGGTCACGAGGAAGCCGTAGCTGATCCTACAGTAGTTGCTGGTACGTTTCTTCTCGATAATTCACATGCATGCATCTTATTCGATAGCGGAGCAAAGATAAGCTTTGTGAGCCAAAACTTTATTCACTTACTTAAACGTAAACCTAGCATGTTAGAAGAATCATTCACTGTAGAAATGGCAAATGGAAAAACGGAAAACACTAATTGCATATACAAGGGTTGTACAT